ATAACCCGAGTACCATCGATCAGAATCAAACGCTTCTGGTTCGCTTTCCTAATCTCGGCGCACACGATGTGTTAGTTCCGGGAACTGTCCGACTAGCATTTGCGATTATTTTGACTTCTACCGACGTTAACAGGGAGCCTGTTCAGAACATAGGTCGTGCTATCGTTAAGAAATTCGCGATTAAAATTAGCGGTAATGAAGTTTTGAGTATCGACGATAGCGATGTATACTATTGTTACATGGATCTCTGGAGAACGGATAAAGAGCGGGAAAACTTACAGTACCAAGGTATTTGTAATCGGAACACATTGAGACTGCGTGTAGATGCTTCTAGTGGTGATAGTACCGTCGTAAAAGATCAGGCCGTTGCCGACGCATTAGGTAACCGATTCTATATTCCCCTAGACTTTGAATTACTAGATTCCCACATGCCCTTTTATCAAGCATCCCTAGGCGATAGGTTAGAATACGAACTCACTTTTAATGACTACGGCAGAGTAATCAAAGTCACTGGGGATGAAACGGCTAGCTATTCCATTGACAATATCTCGCTGGAGTATGATATGATAACAGATCCTGAATTAGCCAGACAAATTCGTAACCAGTATACAGGAAGTTTAGCCATTTTGTACGATCGCGTGCTTCGACATCGAAAGATCACGAGGTACAAAAAAGATACGACGTGGAATATCAATCTAAACGTCCCCACGAGGTCGTTGAAGGGTATTTTAATGTTGTTCGAGGACCCCTCCGATGCATTTAAAAGAAATACCGAGAAGTTCTACAATCCCAAGATTACAAAAGTAGAATTGACTATCGAGGGCGTTCCTAATCAACTATATAGTCAAGGAATGCTAGCGTATCAACAATGGGATGAGATTAAAAAAAACCTTCTATAAAACGAAGCCCAGAAGTTAACGCGGTCGTGAAAGATCTGTCTCTCGGGGGTGTATCGATGGATGAATACCTCACCACGAAGTACGCGCTATGGCTCGACATGCGAACAACGGACGATGACCAACTACACGTTAGTGGGAGGAGAATAGAAAATGCTAGCGAGGGTGTCACTATACAGATAACGAAGCTCCAGGAAACGGCTGGTAAATTAAACATATATTTCTACGTGATTATGGATGCGCAACTTAATATACAGAATGGACGACTCGTGCAAGCAATCTATTAATAATCTTTTACCTAAAGATCCGCACTGCGCTATCATATGCGGGCAAACGGATTGTGGAAAAACAGCTTTTATTCTAGATATTTTACAAAGTCATTATCGGGACGTTTTCGATCATATTATTATTCTGTGCCCGACTATAAGCGTTAATAAAACATACCAATATATATAATCTGATAGTGTGTAACAGTGTTGATATATTGTGTGATAGTAACTAACAGTGTTGATATATTGTGTGATAGTAACAGTGTTGATATATTGTGTGATAGAAACTAACAGTGTTGATATATTGTGTGATAGTAACAAACAGTGTTGATATATTGTGTGATAGTAACTGGCAGTGTTGATATATTGTGTGATAGTAACTGGCAGTGTTGATAAATTGTGTGATAGTAACTAACAGTGTTGATATATTGTGTGATAGTAACTAACAGTGTTGATATATTGTGTGATAGTAACTAACAGTGTTAATATATTGTGTGATAGTTACTAACAGTGTTGATATATGGTGTGCTAGTAACTTACAGTGTTGATGTATTGTGTGATAGTGACTAACAGTGTTGATTTATTGCGTGATAGTAACTAACAGTGTTGATATATAATGTGATAGTGTGTAACAGTGTTGATATATTGTGTGATAGTAACTAACAGTGTTGATGTATTGTGTGATAGTGACTAACAGTGTTGATTTATTGCGTGATAGTAACTAACAGTGTTGATATATTGTGTGATAGTAACAGTGTTGATATATTGTGTGATAGAAACTAACAGTGTTGATATATTGTGTGATAGTAACTAACAGTGTTGATATATTGTGTGATAGTAACTGGCAGTGTTGATATATTGTGTGATAGTAACTGGCAGTGTTGATATATTGTGTGATAGTAACTAACAGTGTTGATATATTGTGTGATAGTAACTAACAGTGTTGATATATTGTGTGATAGTAACTGGCAGTGTTGATATATATGTGATAGTAACTAACAACGTTGATATATTGTGTGCTAGTAACTTACAGTGTTGATGTATTGTGTGATAGTGACTAACAGTGTTGATTTATTGCGTGATAGTAACTAACAGTGTTGATATATAATGTGATAGTGTGTAACAGTGTTGATATATTGTGTGATAGTAACTAACAGTGTTGATATATTGTGTGATAGTAACTAACAGTGTTGATATATTGTGTGATAGTAACTAACAGTGTGTTTATTGCGTGATAGTAACTAACAGTGTTGATATATAATGTGATAGTGTGTAACAGTGTTGATATATTGTGTGATAGTAACTAACAGTGTTGATGTATTGTGTGATAGTGACTAACAGTGTTGATTTATTGCGTGATAGTAACTAACAGTGTTGATATATTGTGTGATAGTAACAGTGTTGATATATTGTGTGATAGAAACTAACAGTGTTGATATATTGTGTGATAGTAACAAACAGTGTTGATATATTGTGTGATAGTAACTGGCAGTGTTGATATATTGTGTGATAGTAACTGGCAGTGTTGATATATTGTGTGATAGTAACTAACAGTGTTGATATATTGTGTGATAGTAACTAACAGTGTTGATATATTGTGTGATAGTAACTGGCAGTGTTGATATATATGTGATAGTAACTAACAGTGTTGATATATTGTGTGATAGTTACTAACAGTGTTGATATATTGTGTGCTAGTAACTTACAGTGTTTATGTATTGTGTGATAGTGACTAACAGTGTTGATTTATTGCGTGATAGTAACTAACAGTGTTGATATATTGTGTGATAGCAACTGACAGTGTTGATATATTGTGTGATAGTAACTAACAGTGTTGATATATTGTGTGATAGTAACTAACAGTGTTGATATATAATGTGATAGTGTGTAACAGTGTTGATATATTGTGTGATAGTAACTAACAGTGTTGATATATTGTGTGATAGTAACTAATAGTGTTGATATATTGTGTGATAGCAACTGACAGTGTTGATATATTGTGTGATAGTAACTAACAGTGTTGATATATTGTGTGATAGTAACTAACAGTGTTGATATATATTGTGATAGTGTGTAACAGTGTTGATATATTGTGTGATAGTAACTGAAAGTGTTGATATATTGTGTGATAGTAACTAACAGTGTTGATATATTGTGTGATAGTAACTAACAGTGTTGATATATAATGTGATAGTGTGTAACAGTGTTGATATATTGTGTGATAGTAACTAACAGTGTTGATATATAATGTGATAGTGTGTAACAGTGTTGATATATTGTGTGATAGTAACTAACAGTGTTGATATATTGTGTGATAGTAACTAACAGTGTTGATATATTGTGTGATAGCAACTGACAGTGTTGATATATTGTGTGATAGTAACTAACAGTGTTGATATATTGTGTGATAGTAACTAACAGTGTTGATATATATTGTGATAGTGTGTAACAGTGTTGATATATTGTGTGATAGTAACTGAAAGTGTTGATATATTGTGTGATAGTAACTAACAGTGTTGATATATTGTGTGATAGTAACTAACAGTGTTGATATATAATGTGATAGTGTGTAACAGTGTTGATATATTGTGTGATAGTAACTGACAGTGTTGATATATTGTGTGATAGTAACTAACAGTGTTGATATATTGTGTGATAGTAACTAACAGTGTTGATATATTGTGTGATAGTAACAAGTGATGTTGATATATCATGTGATAGTAAGCAGTGTAAATGACATTGCTGATAAATTAGACTGTATGACAAGACTGTCTTGTTTTAAAACTTCGTTACAAAAGCACCACCCCACGTCACCAGCGTACTTCGCTTATGGAACAAGAAAATATATTATCTTACACACAAAACTGAGATACATGTGCAGTCAATTGAATTATGATTTATATAGAATTGGTATAAAAGATCACCCGCACTGTACATTTTTGAATATCATATCATTATCTCATGGAATGTACATTGTTTAGTCATCAGCGTGAAATTATGTTAAACAGCCTTGAAAATATCGTTCATAACATACCTGTGTTGATATATTGTGTGATAGTAACAAGCGGTGTTGATATATTGTGTGATAGTAAGCAGTGTTGATATATTGTGTGATAGTAACAAGCGGTGTTGATATATCATGTGACAGTAAGCAGTGTTGATATATTGTGTGATTGTAACAAGCGGTGTTGATATATCATGTGATAGTAAGCAATGTTTATATATTGTTCGATAGTCACAAGCGGTGTTGATATATCATGTGATAGTAAGCAGTGTTGATATATTGTGTGATAGTAACTTACAGTGTTGATATATTGTGTGATAGTAAGTAGTGTTGATATATTGTGTGATAGTAACAAGCGGTGTTGATATATCATATGATAGTAAGCAGTGTTGATATATCATGTGATAGTAACAAGCGGTGTTGATATATCACATGATAGTAAGCAGTGTTGATATGTCATGTGAAAGTAACTTAAAGTGTTGATATATTGTGTGATAATAACAAGTGATGTTGATATATCATGTGATAGTAAGCAGTGTTGATATATTGTGTGATAGTAACTAACAGTGTTGATATATTGTGTGATAGTAACAAGCGGTGTTGATATATCATGTGATAGTAAGCAGTGTTGATATATTGCGTGATAGTAACAAGTGATGTTGATATATCATGTGATAGTAAGCAGTGTTGATATATTGTGTGATAGTCACAAGCGGTGTTGATATATCATGTGATAGTAAGCAGTGTTGATATATTTGCCATCTTTGCGACCTCATAAAGCGAACAGTAACACCAATGTTCCATTTGTTCAATGTCCCTTTGATGTTTCAGTGCATGAGAAGGAACAGCGTCTCGGGCTGCCACGGCTGTTGTTGACCTTGTCGAGTATAAACAACATTCGTCAGTTCCACCAACTACCATTAAACAGTGGCAGCGAGTATGAGTACCCCTTTATTAAGGACCCAAGGAGAGTCAGGGCGATAGCCTATATTCCTTCACTGAAGAGGATTGTAGTGGACATGGAACTGTCCCCACTCCTTGTCTCATTTGCTTTAGATGGTTATGACAAAGTAGTCCTGGAGAGGGGTCTTTATACTAGTACCATATGCGTGGATGATGGGAAAAAACTTGTGTTTGTCCATGTACTCCGAAGTCCCTTGAAGGGTATATGGCGCGTGTCGGCAGATGGACGTAATATTAAACACCTTCTTAATTTCAGAGGGGAAAGCGTCACAACCTTTTCGATTGACTGCCGTAATAGCAGATTGTATATTTTTAAATTTTCAGGCATATATTCATCGCAATACGATGGAAGTGACATGACTCCCTTCCTGATGAAAGTTTTCTCCCGCATCACCCTGTTTGATCACGTTAACCAGGAGTATTATAACCATCGTATCAAGGATGGAGTGGTTCTCAAAATATCTGTTTCGGATAAAACAGCGACTAGTATGATATCAGTTCCTCATACAGTGTCAGCTCTTGCTCAGTACGGGAGTGACATGTATATCAGTTTCTTTAACACCGAAAAGATTGGTGTTCTTAATTTGGAGAGTCGAAAATATAGAGAATTCCAAAGGATGCCCTACAATATGACTGGATATGCAGTAATTTTGTGCATACTATTCTAACAATATTTCGCAGTATTAATGGGTGAGTTCATGTGTCGTAATGTCGTGACTTCATAAACATATCGGTAATATTATTCATATTTAAAATACGTCTAATCCACACCAAAAAGCATGCTCAAAGCTTGAGAACTCGATTTTCTTTCTTAACTCCTAAGCTGCATTTGAGGCACTTTTGTCCAGTCACATTACTATCTCATCCTACCGGGTACCCACTCACTACTTGGTGACCAGAGGCACATTTCGAACAAAGTCACTTGCCTAAGGAGACGCCATATGTGCTATACGTCCTTCAATGTGGGATAAGGAGCCCTAGAAAGTATCCTTGAAAGTATCAGGAGTCAAGCTGCAGAACGCGGTCACCCATCCAAATACTCTCCGAGGCCGATGTTGCTTAACTCCTGATACTTTCAAGGATACCTGTTTTTGTACCTGTGCACGGGACCACGTGCCACCACGTACTTCTCATGGGAAAATAGGTCGAGTTTCCTTTGATTTAACATATTTTATTCAGATTGAAATGGATTTGGAACAAGTTATCCAACTTAGGACTCCCTCTCCATGGTATTTACAAAACTTGTACAGTAAATCATATACAAGGAAAACAGAAAAGAAGATGAGTGTAAAGATAACAAGAAATGTACAAAAGAGAGACTAGTATATGTACATAAAAGTGTTACCCAAATCTCTTTGTATGACTAATAAACATTTGCACTGCTTTAAAGATGTGTTGATTTTCGATAATGGACAAACATTCATTTCCGTTTAACATCAAACTTAAATCTAATTTAACATTTCTGTTCATGGCGTTCTGTAAAATGTCCCGAATTATTATGAACATAGTTTTTCTTTGGTGGACGTACAATGAACACTTTAATAAATAATATTATGCGTTTTCACATGGATTACCACATTGACATATTAGATCACTTTTTATCTCTATTCTGTATAAATCATAATTTAACTGGCTTTTCATGTATCTTAAACGAATATGATAAATATTCAACTTTCTAACACCATAGGAAAAATATGGAGGTGCAGTGACTTGCTCTTTTAGTATGTATGTCTTGAATTGGGATGTAGATGTACAATTTCTACCTGCTGCAGGAATAGTGTTCCATAACCTTACAGTTGATGGAATAAAAGAACACGTTGAGTGTTTTAATCTAGCATATGGAATCTCAATATTGTCTGAATTTCTGAAATTATATGATACATTTGAACCTACAGTGGTTGGTACAATGTCTTTAAGATAAGTTTGGGCAATATTACTTTGTATTTTGTAGAACAAACATAGCTTACGTTTCCTCCTTCGTTGTATTAACGTTTCCCATCCTGTTTCATAATACAGATGTGTGTGCGAAGTATACTTTGGGAGCCCAGTAACTACTCTGGCAGCTTCTAGTTGGAGATTTTCTAACTGAGTTGATAATTCTATATTACACCCATCACACACTACACACACATATTCGAAATGAGGTCTATATGTCTGTTTAATATGAATTTTAATTTTCTCATTGAATTTATCATTTTTGATGTTGATTTAATTATGTTATCTTTGTGACATGACTATTTTCCGTTTGATGCAAACGTTATACCCAAATGTTTATGATTTTGAACATTCTTAACTTTACATTCATCAAAGTACAAGGTAATGAGGTCTGATTCATCTTTTAAGGGAAAATATAACCGCTCCTGTTTTATCTGGGTTGTATTTAATTAACCAGCGTTTTGCCCAGTTACACAGCTTGCTCAGATTTAAATTTAGAGTTGATTCAACAAGTTGATTGTCTGGTGAAGAAAAGCCGAGTGCTGTATCGTCAGCAAAGTGTCTTGTTATGCAATCTTATTCATCAGCAATGTCGTTAACAAATACAATGAATAAAAAGGGACCTAACACCGACCCCTGTGGAACGCCAGCCTTCAAAATCCTTGGCTTGGTTAGAGCCCCGCTTACAAACACTGATTGAGTACGATTGCTTATGTAACTAGACAGCCATTCAAGTAAATTCCCTTTTATACCATACATTTCTTATTTGTACATAAGCACTCTATGACAGACACGATCAAATGCTTTTGACACATCGCAAAAAAACATTCAATATTTTTCTCTATTATCTAAAGATATACAAATTTGATTATACAATTCAATTAATTGATGGACAGTGGAATGGCCTTTTTGAAATTTATTGTAATGAAAGTTTCCGTTTTAGCCAATAAACTCTCCGCCCAATCGTGCTGATTTTAGCCTATGTTGTTGTAATGATTTCGATATGCATAGATAAAGTAATGTACCAGTGTATTTGCTCGACAACTTTTTCTTTTCGTCATCTATTAATCTATTTATATCACCAGGCAACTTTATTGACCAAAGTTGGTTGGTTGGTTTGTTGTTTTACGCCGCACTCAGCAAAATTCTAGCTATATGACGGCGGTCTGTAAATAATCGAGTCTGGACCAGACAATCCAGTGATTGACATCATGAACATCGGTCAAGTGGGATCGATGACATGCATCAACCAAGTCAGCGTGCCTGACCACCCGATCCCGTTAGTCGCCTTTTATGACAATCATAGTCGCCTTTTACGGCAAGCATGGGATGCTGAAGACCTATTCTACCCCGGAACTTCACGGGTCTTATTGACCAAAGGGGCTGGCTGGGTAGAGCCTAGTGGTGAAAGCTTTCGCTCGTCACGCCGAAGCTCCGGGTTCGAATCCCCTCATGGGTACAGTGTGTGAAGCCAATATTGCTGGAATAATGCTAAAGCGGTGTAAAACCATACTCACTCACTATTGAAAGTGGCAGGAGGGGGGTGGGGGGGGGGGGTGTATTGTGGCTGTGTGAATGTGTTCATGTGCCTGTGTGTTTATATTGATGAGGTTGTGTGTGAGTGTTGAAGTATTTGTGTCAAAGGTTACACCTAGGGTTAAGATCATTTTCTTTGCAACCAAGGTTCATATAGCCAATATATGTATGAATGTACGTATGTATATGTGTATGTTTTGTTGGTTGTTTCTTGTTTAACGGCGCTCTCAGCAATATTCTACCTGTATGATGGCGCTCTGTAAATAATTGAGTCTGGACCAGACAATCAAGCGATTGACATCATGATCGATCTACGCAATTGAGTTACGATGACATACATCAACCAAGTCAGCGAGCCTGATGCGTTAGTCGCATCTGGCGACAGGAAAAGTCGCCTTGCATGGGTCGCAAGCATGGGGTGCTGAAGATCTATACCTGTTCCAAGGTCTGCAAAACACAGACTCAGACACCTCGGAGACACTGGTTACCTCCAGCTGGGTTCCACAAGTTTTAAGCATACAAATATCCCTTAGACGTTCATCACGTTGTAGACGACGCCTTCCCAATCTGATCACAAATACCGCATTAAACTAAAAATGGATAACTTACGCGTTACTGTGGATAATAAAATCAACAATACTTATGATTTCACTGATGTGTCAAAATCTAGAATGCCCCCTACCCATACGCACGGGGGAATTGCATTGTCAACGTGCAATATTTCGAATGTGTTGAGGCGTTATGTTTAGGTCCTCGAAACCGATCTGTCTCTGGCAGTCAATTTTCAAAGCATTCGTCACCACTCGCCCCTTTCCGTAACCTGCAAGAAGACTCGTCCCCCTATCGATGAATGTTCATTCGTCACCACTCGCCCCTTTCCGTAACCTGCAAGAAGACTCGTCCCCCTATCGATGAATGTTCATTCGTCACCACTCGCCCCTTTCCGTAACCTGCAAGAAGACTCGTCCCCCTATCGATGAATGTTCATTCGTCACCACTCGCCCCTTTCCGTAACCTGCAAGAAGACTCGTACCCCTATCGATTAAATGTTATGTGCGAAAATACGACAAACCAATCAGAATGCGCGTATGATTTCAAGTTTTTCGTTAAAGAATCCCTCAGAAACAATTTTTGATTTAAGATATGCCTTGCATCTAAAAATATACCCAAGACACAGTTAAATGTGTTCAATCATACTGTATAATTCCGCATATCCCGATGTGCTTTAAATTGCATCTGAATTATATATAATATATGGGGAAATATATGTGAACCATTACGCAACGAGTTGACAATTGTTTTGGGTATGCCCGTTTGCGCTAAGACGGATCCCGGTCACAAAAATGGCAACGAGATAGGCACGAGTCGCACGAATGTTTTCCAAGCTGATCTGTCTGATGAAGACATTCTTAACATCTATATTTCACTATCCTCTTTCTCTTGAGAATATACGCTATATGTTGTATCCAACCGTATACTGTTGCAGTTGGTTATTACCACAAGAATAACATACATGGGTCTTAGTCTCATGTGACGAGAAATGTGACGACAATTAGCTGCACGACAGCCCAATTGCTTGGCCAGACATAGGTTAAGTAATTTAGCTGGATGGGGTCACCGACGACAAATGGGACTCCCTGTAGATCGTCAGAGATATGGTCGCAATGCGCGTCAACCGTATCCCGGTGAATATATAAACACTTTGTTGTGGACGTATCACTTGATGACGCCCTGTTGAATCTCATCTGAAATCTGAAGTAAGATTGCCCTCCCTTCTCTTCACAATGGCTAGAGCTCCTCCTTCAGATGCATGGAACATTCCTGGAGATTCGCAGGACGTCAACCACCTTACGTCATATGTTTCTGAACGGTCCAGTCATGTTACATCACATAGACACAACTAACATACAGCACACTGATATAGACCACACTGCACCTACATACACGACACTGACATACACTACAGTGCACCGACATACACGACACTAACATACACTACAGTGCACCGACATACACGACACAAACATACACTACAGTGCACCGACATACACGACACTAACATACACTACAGTGCACCGACATACACGACACTAACATACACTACAGTGCACCGACATACACGACACTAACATACACTACAGTGCACCTACATACACGACACTAACATACACTACAGTGCACCTACATAAACGACACAAACATACACTACAGTGCACCGACATACACGACACTAACATACACTATTGTGCACCTACATAAACGACACAAACATACACTACAGTGCACCGACATACACGACACTAACATACACTATTGTGCACCTACATACACGACACTAACATACACTAATGTGCACCTACATTCACGACACTAACATACACTACAGTGCACCGACATAAACGACACTAACATACACTACAGTGCACCGACATACCCGACACTAACATACACTACAGTGCACCGACATACACGACACTAACATTCACTACAGTGCACCGACATACACGACACTAACATAAACTACAGTGCAACGACATACACGACACTAGCATACACTAATTTACACCGACATACACGACACTAACATACACTACAGTGCACTGACATACATGACACTGACATACACTACAGTGCACCGACATACACGACACTAACAT